TATCTTGCATAGCTGTCTGATTTTGGCACGATTCCCATTATGTGTATACAATACATATAAATGTATGCATTCAATATGTATCGAAGGGGAAATATTGAATAACGAAATTCCTTTTATTTGGATAATAGTAAAAACTATAAATGAAATTGAAAAAAGTTTGTCGCACGCAATGTAAAAATTAGTGCGGCATATGTCATATAAAAATCGAAATTGAATTATATAATATCACTGACACTTCTTCAACTCTTTTTTACTTGACCAATTATTTTTCAAAGTACATATATAAAAACATCTAATTCTTTGAATGAATTGACGTGTAACTTATAATCAGGAACTAAAAATTCACCCGAGGTCACGCGATATCCATTGGATTTTACCTTCAAGTAGGGTAGTATGAATGGCTCCAATGGGAAAATTACATCGGGTGTGGTCGACTTTTTATTTTCTAAAATTCCACTTTTATGAACAATTTCTTAAAACTTCTTGCTGAATTCTAATAACCTTTAAATCTTTCCCTTCACCCTCTTTTTTTTCTCTCTTTCTCTTCGAATTGAAGTAAGCAATATTTATTTCAAACAAACAAATTTTTTTCTAATAACCTCACTAACAAATTATTCTGTTTTTACTTATGCAAACCTCGCATTGACTTTAAGGCACAAAAAAAGTTGCTTTACTCGACTGAAAATATAAATAAAAAAGTCAAAAAAGTCGTTTATTTAATTCAATACTGTCACAAAAATTTTGTATTTCTTTGACCTATCACTGATTTCCAAATTCAATTATTTAAAAACTTGAATAATTTTGTTAAATAAATACTTAAAATACTTATTTATTTTATTTTTCCACGAGAAATAAAATTATTAAAATTTTAATTTAAAACCTTCTGATATTTAATAATTTCTAAAAATTACAACCATGACACTTTCAAAATTCAATTATTTTCTAGCACTGGAGTAAATATTTATTTGATAATTCACAAGTAATCGGTTATTTAAATATTAAATGAGATAAATATTTTTTTCAATGCATAATTTTTAACTAAACTTCATCTCTAAATCAATTATTTTTATAATAATTCTTCAAAAGTTCTTTGAGAATTTAATTATTTAAATACAAAATTTTGCATAACAATTGTAACTAATTATCTATGATTTTTTAAATTATTAAATTATTTTAAATTATTATTACTAAAATATAAAATTTTTATATTATAATATTTTCAAAAAATTATAATAAAGAAATTCTTTAAATTAATTAAATGAATTAAATCAATTTTTGAAAGATAATAATTTTTTTATTATATATACAATTCAAAGAAATTTTAAACAATTGAAATTTTAGTAAAATCTATTTTAAAAAAACTGAAAATTGATAAAATAATTAAAAATTATTGAATTTTTGAAAAATATAAAAAAAAATAATCAAATTTTTGAAGAATTTTAAAAATAATTACCTATTAACATGATTTCTCCGAAATTTTAAGAAGTTTCAAAAAGTAAATTTTTAAAAATTTTAATTTACTTTGGTCAAAGATATTTGAAACTTAAAAAAACACACTGAAAAAAATTATTTGATTCAAATAACCGATTGCTTGACTATTATCAATTGAATATTTACTGGAGTTGAATAATTTTTATTTGAGTAGGAATTAAATGGTATTTTTTTCAAACACTGAAATTATTTATATAAATACAATTTCCTTGATTTAAATAATAATTATTTGATTCAAGTAAATATTTTTTGATAATAGACAAGTAAACGGTTATTTGAATCAAATACTTTTTTTTCAGTGTATGATAAAACAATTATAAAAATTGGTTATTTGTATTGAATTTTTTTTTTGTATGTTTTGAAAATAATTGAATTTCTTAAAAGGATTATTGTATAATTTAAAAAAACTAATAAATTAAATTTTTGAAGAATATTAATGTTATTTTTTGGTATGTATTTGAATTTTCGGAAATTCATATGTAAAATTAAAAATAGTGAAAATAATGAAATTTTAAAAAATTAGAATGAAAAAGTTCCAAGAATTAATTTTTGCAAAAATATTTTAATATAATTTTTAGATGTTAATTTTAATTTACTTCGTTCAAACATAATTAAATCTTTAAAAATTATGATAAAAAAATTCTAAGAATTAATTTTTTTTAAAAATATTCTAATGTAATTTTTTAAAAATAATTGAATTTCTTCAAAGAATTTTTGTATCATATAAAAAAATCTAATTAATTTTTTAGAGAATTTTAGTAAAAAAATTTTAAATGATTGTTTCCCCCAAAATGTTAAAAATAATTATAAAAAATGTTAATGTAATTATTTTTTGTATGTATTTGAATTTTTGGAAATATGGAATTGAAAATATTGAAAGTAATTAAATTTTTAAAAATAAAAATGGAAAAATTCTAAGAATTTCTATTTTCTAAAATATTTTATTATAACTTTTAAAAGCAAATTTTCATTTAATTTTCATTTTTAAATTTACACTTGAAGATTTATTATTAAAATTTTTGGGAATTCAATTATTTAAAAAATTTGCAATTAAGATTTTTCAAAAGTTGAGTTTCAAAAATTGTAATGAAATAATTAAAAAAATCAATTATTTTTAATTAAATTTTACAAAATTTAAATTATTTAAAATCGTTTTAATTGTATATTTCGATAATTTAATTAGAAAAATTAATTATTATTATTTTCAAAAATAATTCTTGAAAGATTTGTCAATAATTATTTTTAACACGTTTCACGCTGTATATAAAAATTGAAATAAGTTGAATTTTATACTAAAAATATAATTTTCTTGCAATATTTGTAAGAAAAGTAAAAAAAGTCGTAATTTTTTGAAACAATTCGAAAAAAAGTTGCATTTTTGGAAAATAGTCGAAAAAAGTAACAATATCCGAGGCTTGCACATGTCCTGAGTATATATTTACTGAAATTTAATACCAAAAAGAAGGGGGGGGGGGTGGATTTATTTGATGTTTTGTTTAGGGAGAAAACTAATCCACTCAGGTGATTTGTTGCTCCATAGTATAAATTAAGTCCTCTGAGGTTTAGATGAAAGTTACACCTATATTTATTTTTCGTGGACTCACTTAATTTCCGTCAGTGCTATATGACTCCTAATTGAAATGAATATAGAAACTTTGGACTTATTCCAAGGCAGTAAGAACTTGAACATTATATATATAAAAGCAAACTTTAGTTAATAATATTTTATCGATAGTAAAGTAAATACTTTATTAGTTCATCACACAAAATTTCAAATATATTTTACTGCGTTTTAATCATATTGATTGATTGTCCCATTTGTTTCCATTAAGAATCAAGAGAGGCGCACGTCTAAAATTAGTAATTATTTTTAATCAAAATTTCTCGAGAAAAATGTATTTTTTGATTATTGATATAATACAAATATATCTGAACGAAAAAGGGAAATAAAAGATTAAAAAAAAATTAATTAGAAAGTGGATCACAAGTGGAAAAATGAATCGTTCAAGTGAAATATTTGTATTCTCTATGGGAAATTTTCTTAATTAAAATTTTTGCAATAAAGTGAAACAAAGACAATGTAACCCTTTTAATTGGCAATGTTGAAATGAAGAGATGAAAACTTGATGTTCATTATTGAAAATTTCATGAAAAGAGTGCCAAGTATCAATAAAGAATATATCAATCTTTTTTTATTCCACATTCAATGCGATAATAATTTAGATCTCTAGGATGATTAATGTTAAAATTTTTTTCAATTACGACTCGAGTATAGAAAATTATCAGCAAAGTTATTTAAATGCAGTATATATAGATGATTTATGTGCAATCTTCATAAGTCATAAATATTAAAAAATTTATTTCATTTTTATTAATGTTAAATTATGCAAACTTTAGGAAAAAAATTGTTCCATTTATCAATGAATTATTGGATTTTAATTAATTTCATTTCAAGTCTTTCCTTTAATTAGAATTCAAATTTTATATATACTGATATATGGATTTTAGAATTATGTGATTTTAATTAAAAGATGAATCGCTTTTAATATAAATTTTTATTCAATTTTGTTAATTTTTCTATTGGTCAAAAGGAGAGATTCTTTACTCGATTTTCATATTTTTTTATAAAATAAAATTTTCATTCATTTTATTATCGTACAAAAATTATTTAAAAATATAATTTTGAAAAATTTGTCTACAGTTATTTTTCATACTATAAAAAGCGAAATAAATTGTATTTTATACTAAAAATGTGGTATTTTGTTGCAACATTTGGAAAAAAAGTCGAAAATAGTGGCATTTTTTGAAAAAGAAATTAAATTATTCTCACAATAACATTTTTTAAATGGAACATTTTTTTTATAAAATGATTTAATTTCTCCACTTGAGAACGCCATGGTCGCCACTAGGTGGCATGAAAGCTGATTTTATCAACTGAATTGCCATCTAGCGGTGACCTTGGCGTTCGCAGGTGGAGAATATCAGCTCCATATTGAATCTCAAGCTGTTCGTAATTTAATCATTATTTACGAGCACAAAATCTGGAGAGTTAATTATTAATATAAATGGATTTAAATTTGGAATTCATTTAAATTTCCTATTTTTAACCAAAGAAGCAAATAATTTTAGGTTCTGTTTGTGTTATTTTTACCTTATTTAAAAGTTTATGTGTTTAATTAAAAACCAAAATCAGTTTTTATTAATTATTTTTGGTGGAATGAAGATTTAAACATCAGTAATTTATATTAGGAGTTTCAACTCTTAACATAAATTACTGATGTTTAGTAATTTTCGATTCGAAAATTACAAACGTAACCTAAAATTTTTGCTTCTTAGGTACCTTTCTTCAGAGTGTCACAAATAAGTTATTATTACTATTATTATTTCTATTACTATTATTAGTATTACTATCATTATTATCATCATCATCATTATTACAATAATTATTATTATTAATAAATATTGGAAAATGAAACATAAAATTAATGATATCCTCTTATGTTCAACAGGTGAAGTAATGGACATACTGGCCCTGATAAATTCAGCCATCAATTTCATTCTTTATTGTGCGATGAGTCGACAATTTCGAATGACCTTCAAACAACTATTCTGCAAAAGAAAACTTTTCGGAAGATGGCTTCCGGTTCCATTGCACGGTGAAAATAATGGAAATACGGGGACCAATCATACAGTGACACAAGTTACTCAAGTCTAGCAAAGGAGAGTTCGACAACCAATATGCTATCCCCTTTAAGGAAATTTCTTTTTTTTCGAGGACCCTAAACACGATCCAATTTTTTTACTCAACAACCCTTCTCTCTCTCTCTCTCACTCACTCTCTCTCTCTCTCTCTCACTCTCGCGACATATTTATTAACCTTTTGAGAAAAGTCGATATAATCCCTCCAATTAACGCGTCGTGTGAAATATAATATAAGAATATATGTATATTTTTTTAAAGTGCCCCTCTTTTCATTTCTCATTTCACTATTACTTAAAAATTAATGAACGACATTTATTAATTTCAGACAAAAAAAAGAAATTCTAATTAAAATTCGTGTTCTTAATTACATAAAGAAAAAATTTTCCTGTTTTTACAAACGAAAAACTGTTTGACTTATCTAAAAAGGTACAACAATAATTTTAACCTTTGAAATTTTTTTTTTTCGAGAACTCTGACTGAATTAATAAATATATTTGATAATTTATTATAAATTATAATAAAATAACACAGACAATATTAAAACTCAAGTATACAATTATTCAATAATAAATCTACATATTTGGTTGGTGAGTTGACGAATTCGATCGCAAAACAAAGACACGTACCAATTTTTATTAAAAAAAAAAATTCTATTCGAAAATAATATTTATATGCGAATAAAAATTCTACCAAAGAGAATAAAAACTAATTTTCAACTCTTTGTAATCCATAATTCAAAGTAGAAAAATAAATTAAATGTAAAATCAACTTTGTTTGTAATAAATTAAAAGAGAAATTTAATAAAAGCAGATATTTCCTAACACAAAAAAAAAACAATTATAAATAATTGGATTCTTTTTTTGGGGAGGGGGGAAATTAATAATTCCCTGCAAAAGAAAATTTATATAATAAATTTTTCGCTCAATTCTCATTTTAGAAAAAAAAATTAAAACAGAAAGATATAAAAATATTGGTACGTATTTGTAATTAAAAAAAAGGATTGATAGCAAATGGTTGTCGGACTTTAAAGAGTGAAAAAATATTTTATTATAGAGTGCTTCTTAAAATAATCTATATTATATAAAATATGCCAAAGAATACTCTCTTTTAAAAAATTAATTATTCAATATTGATTTTTAAATTGTAAAATTAAAGCATTTTCTATTCTTGAAAATTAATTAATTCTGAAAAAATGTGAACAAACAGTTGTCAAAAAAATAGCATTTTCTATTCTTGAAAATTAATTATAATTCCACGAGAAAATTGAACAAACTTGTAAAAAAGAGAAATAGTATGGAAATTTTGAGATTCACTCGTAATTTTTCAGAAAATTCAATCATATGAAACTTTTAAGTTAAAATCGCATTCTTTTCATTTAATAATGCAGAGCAGACCAAAAATTTAACAATTTATATACATCGAAAGAGAAGAGTTTTTTTCGTCGAGAGACGAAAATATTTATCTACGTTACTATATATGTATATGTATACACACTGTTAAAAAAATATTTCATTTTAAAAATTTTCCTACTTGCAAATTTTATCACAGTTGCGAATTTTAAATAATTTACATAAATATTATTCATTATAATGCTATATTTTATTAATATTATTATTAATAATTATTAATAATACTATTAGTAATTAATAATAATAAAAAGAATGTAATATTAATATTATTATAATATATTATAATAATTTAATAATAATATTAAATATATTACACTAAAAAAAGTTATTTCATTCAAATAAAGAATTACCTTGTCCATATAATTTTTCGAATAAATTGTATTTGAACCAATAATTTTAGTATCTGAATTAACTTAACATTTATTTAAAGAATTTTTTCAAGATTTAAAGAATTTAATATTGACCTTAATATAAAAATTATTTTAATACAAATAAATATTTCTTTGATAATGAACAAGTAATCGTTTATTTAAATCAAATAATTTTTTTTCAATGTACGTAAATTCTTTTCAAGACTATTATTCATCAAAAAATATATTTTTCATACAAAAGATGTATATTTTTCATTCATTAATATATCACAAAGGAAAAACTACATTATATTAATAAAACAATGTTTTGTTCTCTTCTGGATTTTTTCGAAATTTGAAAATTGTCCAGAAATACTTTATAAATAGAGCATACTGCTATTTAATTATAAGGAATGTAGGGAGAAAATTCCTGGCTAAAAAAAACTTTCAAATTATATTTAAAATCTGCTTTTTTAAATTACATTCATAATAATAAAAGGCAGAATATTTTAATTCATATTAAAATTTATATTTTCTCCTCTTTACCATCGTAAATTTAGGAATTTTCTTCAAACAAATTCAAAAAAAAAACATTTTTAATATTTTTTACGCAGAAGAAAAAATATTGATAAAAAAAGTATAGATATAAATAAACTAATTTTTGCGAATAAATCGACGAAAGTTGTCAATATTTAGAGAAAAAAATAGAAATTTCTATATTGTATTAAAATTTAAAATTAAAGAGATTTTAAAATTTATTTGAAAAAATGAGTTGTTTTAATTAAATAATATACTTAACGCACCAAAGATTAATTAAATGTATCGAAAATTTCAATTTGTTTCGTTAATTTGAATCTAAATTATTTATAGTAATAAAAATTAAAAAAAAAATGAAAGAAAAATTATTAAATAATATAAATGTATGTATGGAGTGTATAATATCAGATTGATATATAATTATGTTATAATCGACGCTTAAATTGTAGTCTAATCTAATTAAAATTACACATAAATAAATATATTAAATTACAGAAAATAGTGTTAAAAAAATAAATTAACGGAGATTTGTATATGAAAAGTTTCAAAATAAATATAAAGAAAAATAAATAATAGTTGTGTTTTTATAAATGTATATTTATAATAATGGTGAATAAAAAATTTATTATCAATTAAATATGAATTGATTCTCCTTTTTCATTTTACACATTTTTTTTTTAAAATAATTTTCTAATGATATTTTTAAATTTTAATTTATAAAATTATAATTTTCTTGTCTTCGAAATAATTGTAAATAAAAATTTTATTTCAGAAAAAAAAATAAAAACAGATCGAAATAAACAAATTTTGATCGTGGATTATGAAAAAATAAGTTTAGAAAATTATATATACATAAATTGAGACGTAATACATGAGAAATATTGAGGATTTGAAGAAGATTGATATTCAAGAACTTTGTGCAGAGAAAAAGTCGCATTAAAACTTTTTTTTCAGAAGAAGATTTCTTGCGAAACAAATTACCCGTAAAAATGAGAAGTTTGCAAATATTTAATTGAAAAAAAGTAAAAAAAAAAAATAAATAAACAAAGTTGTCTACGGTATTTTTTTCTCGAATTGAGTTTGAGAACGTTAGAAAAATATATAACATTAAATAAAATTATGTCCAATTTTTTTTCTTATAATAGTTTTTCCGAACCGAGATGTTTCATAAAGTTATCAATTTTTAAAAAGCTTCTGCTCTCATAGCAGCTTTTAAGTACATAAAGTGGCTTTATACATGCTTGTTCGTTCCATTTTCAACCCTCTGAGATAAAATCTTTCAAGAGGTTGACCTTCTTTTCAAATTATTGTGATTTAAATATATGTATTAATATATCTTTTTATATATATTTCTGATATTATATTCTTACTGTAAAACCGGTAAATTTTTTATTTGTTTCTATTATAATAATAATTATAATAACTAAAAGCCCTTTAATAAATTATTTACTTAACAGAAGTTATTTTTATTAATCTTATTATTATTATTATGATTATTATTATTTTTATTATTATTATTATTATATTACTATTATAATAATTATTATAAAAATTTGGTTATCTTTGTAAAACCATTTTATATTTATAAAACTATTTTGCAAGCAAAAACATTAAAAAATTTAAAACAAAAACAATATTTTATATTTTTAGGCCTCGGATCAACTCTAAGGCGCGAAAAAATTACTTAATTCGATTAAAAATACAAAAATAGTCGAAATAGTCGTTTATTTATAATTCAGCGTTGACACAAATTTTTTTTGATATAATTCCCTAACCTTTCACTGATTTCTAAATTCACTTATTCAAAACCTGAATAATTTAGTTACATTAAATATTTGAATACTTCCTATTTTTTTATCCACGGGAATAAAAATTAAAAAAAAAATTTCAATTAAAAATGCATGTAAAAACCTGAAATATAATAATTTCTATAAAAATTACAACTATAAACCTTTCCAAATTCAATTATTTTTCTTTCTCGCGATAATTTCTTTCACTATAGAGTTGAATACAAATATTCTAAGAACATAATTTAACATAAAAATTAATTGTTTATTAAGAAAAAAATTTTTAAAGCTCTTAGCTTCGAAAAACTCGAAAATTCGATTGTCTGCTAATTGGCGGATGGAGTATTTTGACTAGTAATTTTGCCAAAATTATTTTACGAAAGTAATTTCTAGTAAATAATCATAAAATGCACAAAAGACTACAACAAAATCGATTGTTTCTTAAAAAATGAATTTTTAAAGCTCTTAGCTTCGAAAAACTCGAAAATTCGAATGTCTGCTATTTGGCGGATGGAGTATTTTGACTAGTAATTTTGCCAAAATTATTTTACGAAAGTAATTTCTAGTAAATAATCATATAATCCACAAAAGACTACAACAAAATCGATTGTTTCTTAAAAAATGAATTTCTAAAGCTCTTAGCTTTAAAAAACTCGAAAATTCGATTGTCTGCTAATTGGCGGATAGAGTATTTTGACTAGTAATTTTGCCAAAATTATTTTACAAAAGAAATTTCTAGTAAATAATCATATAATGCACAAAAGACTACAACAAAATCGATTGTTTCTTAAAAAATGAATTTTTAAAGCTCTTAGCTTTACAAAACTCGAAAATTCGATTGTCTGCTAATTGGCGGATGGAGTATTTTGACTAGTAATTTTGCCAAAATTATTTTACAAAAGCAATTTCTAGTAAATAATCATATAATGCACAAAAGACTACAACAAAATCGATTGTTTCTTAAAAAAAGAATTTTAAAAGCTCTTAGTTTCGTAAAACTAGAAAATTCGATTGTCTGCTAATTGGCGGATGGAGTATTTTGACAAGTAATTTTGTTAAAATTATTTTACAAAAGTAATTTCTAGTAAATAAAGATATAATAAACAAAAGGCAACAACAAAATTAATTGTTTATTAACAAAAAAATTTTTAAAGCTCTTAGCTTTAAAAAACTCGAAAATTCGATTGTCTGCTAATTGGCGGATGGAGTATTTTGACTAGTAATTATGCCAAAATTATTTTACAAAAGAAATTTCTAGTAAATAATCATATAATGCACAAAAGACTACAACAAAATCGATTGTTTCTTAACAAATGAATTTTTAAAGCTCTTAGCTTCGAAAAACTCGAAAATTCGATTGTCTGCTAATTGGCGGATGGAGTATTTTGACTAGTAATTATGCCAAAATTATTTTACAAAAGAAATTTCTAGTAAATAATCATATAATGCACAAAAGACTACAACAAAATCGATTGTTTCTTAAAAAATGAATTTTTAAAGCTCTTAGCTTTACAAAACTCGAAAATTCGATTGTCTGCTAATTGGCGGATGGAGTATTTTGACTAGTAATTTTGCCAAAATTATTTTACAAAAGAAATTTCTAGTAAATAATCATATAATGCACAAAAGACTACAACAAAATAGATTGTTTCTTAAAAAATGAATTTTTAAAGCTCTTAGCTTTACAAAACTCGAAAATTCGATTGTCTGCTAATTGGCGGATGGAGTATTTTGACTAGTAATTTTGCCAAAATTATTTTACAAAAGCAATTTCTAGTAAATAATCATATAATGCACAAAAGACTACAACAAAATCGATTGTTTCTTAAAAAATGAATTTTTAAAGCTCTTAGCTTTACAAAACTCGAAAATTCGATTGTCTGCTAATTGGCGGATGGAGTATTTTGACTAGTAATTTTGCCAAAATTATTTTACTGAAGAAAATTCTTGTAAAAAAACATCTGGTGAACAATAGGCAACAACAAAATAAATTGTTTATTAACAATATAA